ATAATTACGTTAGAACAATGAATTCAATTTGCTAATATTTTATTGAGGATTTAGAGAGTTATTGGTTTAAGTTCATGAAAGATATTGGTTCACATTTGCTTTTTTTAGTACTGTCTTTATCTTGTTTTGATATCAAAATAATCCTGGCCTAAAAATAAGCTGGGAAGTGTCCCCTCCTCCTTTATTTTCTGGAAGAATTTGTGTAAAATTGGTGTTTAGTCTTCCTCAGGTGTTTGAAGTGAAACCATTTGAGCCAGGAGATTTCTCTTTGGGGAGGGGAAAATCTGTTTTATCTTGATAATAACTTGTTTGTGCACTGGAGTCACAAAGGGAATGGCCAAGTTATAGACTCTAGAATTGCAGAAGACCTTGGAAATCATCAAGTCCCACATCCCTCATTATATGGGAAGAAAGAGAAAGGACTCTTTCTCTTTGGGGTAAGAGAAAGGACTTACCCAGAGTCACAGAGCAAGTTAGCAGCAGAAATGAGAAGAGCCTGTGTACCAGGATGTTCTGTCTACCTTCCTCAGTGGTAGTGGCTCAAGAAGTGGAGACTTTTAACTTTCAGACACTCCAGCATCCATTGCCCACTAGCTCTCTTACTGGCGATGAGAGGCTTCCCTGTATACAAGAGCTTGGTAAGAAGGTTCCCCAAGTCCCTTCCAGCTCACAGTTAGAACCAGAAAGGGCAGAGGTCAAGAGCAGAGCTGGCCACCCAGTACCAAGTGCGCAGAGAGACAAACCTTTGGCAACTGAAGTCTCCCAAGAAAAAAGCAACCACAGGGTTGATCAGCCTGGGACCCAGATCCTTCTGTTGGTTTAATGTGCACTGGGGTTCGATCCCTGGTCAGAGAACTAAGATCCTGCAAGCTGTGCAGTGAGGCAGAAAAAAATGTTTATAATAAATCAATAAGTAAAATTAAATGTAAAAAGAAGAAAAAGAAGAAGAGAGGAGGGGGGCACATCTCCCAACTGGCTCAGCAAACAGTAGAAAGTTAGGTCTTCTGGCTCACACCCCTCTGCTACCAGCCAGAGGCCACTGTCCAAACTGCAGATAAGAAGGTAGAAGGAGGGGACTTCCCTGGTGGTCCACTGGTTAAGAATCTGCCTGCCAATATGCAGGGGACACGAGTTCAATCCCTGGTCCAGGAGCTAAGACCCCACATGCTGTGGGATAACTAATCCTGTGCACCGTAACTAGTGAAGCCCACACATTCTAGAACCTGTGCTCCGCAACAAGAGAAGCCGCTGCAGTGAGAAGCCCGCTTGCCACAACTAGAGAAAGTCTGTGCACAGCAACAAAGACCCAGCACGGTGAAAAGCAAACCAAGAAATAAAAGAAATCCTTAAAAGAAAAGAAGAAGGCAGAAAGAAGGAATGGGTAGATCGTACCTTCACACTAACTCAGCATTCCTACAGCCGAATCCCCATCACAGCTACAGGGTCATCCAGGTGAATCTTCTGCCACGGAAATATTACACATTAGTGCTGTTCAATGAGATAGCCACCAGTCATACGTGGGGAGTAAGCACTGGAAATGTGAGTGGTGCAAATAAGGAACTACATTTTTAATCTTATTAAATTTCTTAATTAATTTAATTTAAATAGTCATAGGTGACTAGTGGCGACCGTACTGGATAGCGTAGATCTAGTGGAAGCTCTGTAGGTGCACTCATGAACAAACTTAAAAAGCAGGGGGAAAGCAAAATCATAATCTATAATAAAGGAAAGAAGCGCTAAGAGACGGCAAGTCACTTAAAGTTGAACTAAATTCAATTTTAGTTTTTTAGTTTCGGATTCGCCCCAGTACTACCCAGTGCTCTGGTTTCATCTTATTTGGGAGTCTATGCATGCTAGTTTCACAAAAATTCACCTTTGGCAATGCAAAAGGAGGAGCCGAAACAGCCTTCAGGGACCCAGATGGAAGTAGCTAAGCAAGTAAAGAGTTAGTGTAGGAGGTTTTTTTTTTTCAAGGAGTTTGTTTTGTTCTCTGCTAAATCATCAGTGCCTAGACTATACCCCCCACCCCACCCCTGGCAAAGAACTCTCTCAGTAAAAACTTGACTGGGGACCTTCCTGGCGATCCAGTGGTTAAAAATCTACCTGCCAACACGGGGGACATGGGTTCGATCCCTAGTCCAGGAGGATTCTATGTGCCACGGAACAACTCAGCCCATGGGCCACAAGTACTGAGCCTGTGCTCTAGAGCCCAGGAAGTCTCAGCTACTGAACCCACACTTTCTAGAGGCCGCCCTCTGCAACTAGAGAAGCCTCCACAATGAGAAGCCCATGAACCGCAAGTAGAGAGTAGCTCCGATCTCTTCAACTAGAGAAAGCCTGCGTGCAGTAATGAAGACCCAGTGCAGCCATAATAAATAAATAATTTTAAAAATCATGTGCTTTTATTTATTTATTTTTTTCATGTGCTTTCAAAAAATTGAGTGAACTTAAGGTAGGCCAGACTGCCAAAGAAACTGGTCTAATTAAAAAAGACATCAGGAGCACCACTGGAGGGCGCCAGCAGCCCAGAAGCTGGGGCCCCGCAGCGAGTAAAGCGCTGACCGCGTGGGAGACTCCAGGTTCTCAGCGCTTTGCACACTCTGAAGTCGCTTCAAAAGGGTCGGTTCAGCCATCCCGCTTCCGTCACACAGTAGGTCTTCCTTTCCTATTTATTCGTCCCCACGTTTTCTCATATATGCAGCCAGCTCACTGACTCTGAGATCAGGAGGACCAGCTATTGATGGACAGTGCAAGGCCACCAGCCCCAGGGAGGCTTAATAAATGTCACATTTTGCCCCTCAAATAAAGGAAACTGGAAAGTCAAGGCAGAAGCCCAGGCCCAGAAATCAAGAGGTTAGCTTCTAGACAGCTCTTTACACTCACCAGAAGCCCACCAAGTCCCAAAGATTGTGCTACATGTTTTAACTCAGGTAGCTAGTATTACTTCCATTTTGTTGTTGCTTAGCCACAAAGTCGTGTCTGATTCTTTGCGACCCCAGGGGTTGTACAGACTTCCAGGCTCCTCTGTCCATGGAATTCTCCAGGCAAGAGTACTGGAGTGGGTTGCCATTCCCTTTTCCAAGGGATCTTCCCCATTCAGGGATCAAAAGGGGTCTCCTGCATTGCCGGCAGATTCTCTGCCATCTGAGCTACCAAGACAGCCATTCTACACTTGAGAAAGTTGTATTTCAGGGCTTCTCGGATGGAGCAGTGGATTGGAATCCACCTAGCCTATCCAGGGGACCCCGGTTCCATCCCTGGTCCAGGAAGGTCCCACATGCTGCAGAGAAACTAAGGCCATGCACCTCTACTACTGAGCTGGCATGCCCTAGAGCTGGTCCTCCGCAACAAGAGAAGCCACCACAATGAGAAGCCCTCCAACCACAACTAGAGAAAGCCCAGGCAAAAGCAATGAAGGCCTAGTGCAGCCAAAAATAAAATAAACAAATGAAATAAAAATTAAAATTTATAAAAAGATGTTACAGAAAATTGCATTTCAGAGTGACTGACACAGGTCACATAGATTATAAGCAGATTGTGAATCCATGATATTTTCTTTACAAAACTTGCAGAATTAACACTGTGCCATCAACTTTGAGTTTAAAGACGTTGCTACTGAAAGCTCTGCTTTCTGTGGGTTCTACTGAGGTTGGAAGAGTGAATGTCAAATCCAGGGAGGGGAAAGGAGTCCAGTTATGTTGGACCACTTTCTGGGGGGCTAGAGAAAGGCACAGTCACCACTCAAAAAAACAGGGTGAACCCACCCTGGGCAAAAGTCTTTAGAGTTCCTTTCTGTTATGGATTGAATGTGTCTGGCCCCAAATTCATGTGTGGTGGTAACTCCCCCAATGGACTGGTGGGAGGTATTTGGTGGTGTTTAGTGATTAGGACTTTGGGAGGTTATAGTTAGGTTTAGATAGGGTCATAAGGGTGTCCTACCCCCACCATGATGGGAATGGTGTCCTTATAAGAAGGAAAGAGAGACAGAGTTCTCTTTCCCCGCACCATGTGATAATGTTACCAAGTACAAGTTCGCTTTGCTTGCCACAAGATAAGTCAATGAATCGGAGATGAGGTGTTGGGATCAGGAAGGGACTTTATTTGGCCGCTGGCTGACCGAGAAGACGGCAGGCTAGCGCCTCAAAATAACCAATTAGCCAACTAGGTGGAGTCTGGATGTCAGATTCTTTTATGAATCAGAGATGGCCGGAGGTGAGGAAACAAAGTAAAAAGACCATTTAATTCCTGCAAGTATCTCCTAGAGTGGCAAGCCTCACATAGAGGGGATATGTTAGTTTCATTTCCTTACAGTCATTTCATGGGTGGTGTGAAATGGAATAGTCCCTGTCACATCCACAAAGAAAGATGTCACATCTATCTGTGATTCTGGTCTTTCCAAATGTGAATTTCTGAGTTTGGCTGGTAAGCAGTGGGCACTGGGCCCAGCGCCATTTGCCACACAAAGGATTCAAGAATGTCACAGTCCATCACCGGTGGGCGGGGTCAGGTTATCTCCCTGAGGCAGGCCATTATGTATGCTTATAATAACAAAAAGAGTTAAAGTTGTGGAAGCAGATCCAGTGCAAATTCAAAATTAAATTAACGCTTCCTGGTTGTAAGAACACGCTGAGACAGCAGCTGTCTGCAAACTGGGAAGCGAGGTCTCACCGGGAGCTCTGTCTGCTGGCACCGGATCTTGGACTCTCAGCCCCCGGAAATGAGAAGTCAATGTCGGCTGCTTAAACACCACCCTTGCCCCCACTGTAGCCCTTCTTGTTCTCTGGGGTGGTTCCCCCCTCCTTACATCAAGACCAGCTCCTCAGCTCCTGTGGAGGTTGGGGATCACTGGGGTGGTGGTGACCTGTATGGGCTTTGGACTAAGCGGGTTACAAAAACATCTAGATGTGGGCCGTGGTGTAGGGCTGGCTAGGCCCCCCAGCCCCACATGCCTCATGTGTGAATTAGTGACCCTTGTCCTGCAAGGCCATGGGACCACATACCTGTCTCATCAGAGTCAGATCTCACTCGCTCAGGGCAGGCGCAGGCTAAGGACACAGGAAGCATCCGCGTCTCTTCCCCCTTGCTGCTGTCCTGGATGTGAAGGTCATGGTTAGCAGAACCTTTTAGCTCAGAGCAGAGAGCTTTTCGTTTTATTATTTTATATATTTCTCATTTGCGGATCTTAGTTCCTTGACCCAGGGATTGAATCCGGGGCCCTCAGTGAAAGCTGGGAGTCTTAGCCACTGGATCATCAGGGAATTCCCAGTTCCCTGCAAAAAGTTGTGTTTGTTTTTTTTTAAATGAGGGGATTTCAGGTATCAAGCTGTGAGCGGAGGAGAATATTTAAGGACTGAGAACCTTAAGAATAAGGGTTCTGGGGTCCCCACTCTCACCCCACAGCAAGAAGAGTGTGTTGTGGGACTCAACACACACACACACACACTCACACTCACACACACTCTCACACACACACTCACTCACACACATTCACTCACTCACTTGCTCAGGACCCGCACTCTCTCCAGGCTGCCCCTCACACACCCTCTCACACACATACACACACTCACATTCTCACACACACACACACACTGACACACACACTCACGCACACACTCACACACTCTCACACACATTCTCACACACACACACTCACACTCTCACACACATACACACACACTCACACACTCACACACTGACACACACGCACACACTCACACACTCACACACTCACACACACACATTCTCACACACACACTCACTCACATGCACACACACTCAGGCACACTCACACACTCACACTCACACACTCACACACACTCTCACACACACACTCACACACACACATTCACACACTTTCTCACACACACACACATTCTCACACATTCTCTAACACACACACATACACACACACTCACACACACACACACTGACACACACACGCACACACTCACACACTCACACATTCTCACACACACACTCACATGCGCGCACACACACACACTCACATGCGCACACACACTCACACACACTCACACACACATACACACACGCTCACACACATTCTCACACACACACTCACATGCGCACACACACTCACACACACTCACACACACATACACACACGCTCACACACATTCTCACACACACACTCACATGCGCACACACACTCACACACACACTCTCACACACTCACACACACACACATTCACATACTCACACATACACACACTCACACTCACACACACACGCTCTCACACACACTCACACACACTTACACACACACACACACTCACTCACTCACTTGCTCAGGACCCGCACTCGCTCCGGGCTGCCCCTCACACACCCTCTCACACACTCACACACTCTCACACACTCACACACTCTCACACACATACACACACGCTCACACACACTCACACACACTCACACTCACACACACACTCACTCACTCACTTGCTCAGGACCCGCACTTGCTCCGGGCTGCCCCTCGCACACCCCTCCTAGCGCCTTATGCTGCCCCTTCCATCCACTCTCCACCTTCTTCCGCTCGGCTAGGTGTCCCGGGAGGCTAGCCCACAGGGCAGCATCAGTGGGCTCCCTTGTCCTCTGTCTCCCAGCCGGCCGGGCCGCTGGGTTGCCTGGCAACAGAGCCGAAGGCAGGAAGCCAGCAAGGGCTGGAGGGCAGGTCTACCTCCCAGCTCTTTCCAGCCTGGACAGCAGGTGACCGGTCCTGGGAGCCTCTCCTCTCCACCTCTGTCCGTGTGTCTCTCTCTAGATTCCAGTAAACACACCTCTCTTACTCCTTCAGGCCCAGCTCCCAGCTCCCCTGACTTCCCTCTTGGTTTGCCAACCTCCCGCCCACACCTTTGCAGATCATCCCGCTATTAAACTCCCCTTGAATTACCCCGTGTGAGTGACCCTGACGGACACATCCCTGAGGGCTGGTTAGGACCGCGCATCTGACACCGGTCCCTGGTGGCCCCGGTGCCCTTCTCCTCCAGCTGCCACCAAAGACTCTCAGCTGTCCCGCTCTCCTGGCCAACACGTAACACCTTCTAAGCCTGCACGGCCACAGCTCAGGTAACACACAGAGGGTCACCCACAGAGGCCACCCCCACCCTCTTCAGCTGCCTTGCATTGTCCCCACACCCAGAGGAAGACCATTCCCCGGGGATGCTCTCAAAGTCCAGGTCAAGATGGCAGAGCAAGTTCTGATGGCAGATGGCAGAGTGAATTTTTTTTTCAATTTTTTGGTAAACTCTTTAGCCCTGAAGTCACATTAAAATGTTAAATTCATCATTGGGAACCTGTCATATCAACACCTGTGTCTTGTAGAAGCTTCCTGCCTCAGATGGAGATGCAACCACTGACAAAAGAGATGTTTAAAAACAAACAAGCTCAGAGATACAGAGAACAGGGGTGGTTGTCAGAGGCAGGGAGTGAGGAGTGGGGGAAATGGGTGAAGGAGGTCCAAAGGTACCAAAATTAAAATAAAAAAGACATGTTGAAGAAACCAGGCAGGACATCCCTGGTGGCCCAAGGATTAAGACTCCATGCTTCCTCCTACCCTCCAGGACAAGGAGCTGCTCATGGAACCCCACCAGCCAGACCTCCTCTGCAGAAGGCAGGAGTCCAGTCCCTGGTTGGGGAACAAAGACCCTGCATGCCCGTGGGGTGGCCAAAAAAAAAAAAAAAATAGAATACAAAGGAAAACAGGCATATTCTCCACTGACAAGAGGATAACAGAGGGCCGTTGAAAAAGAAGAGCTGTTAGTATAAGAAGTAGTCTCGCCATGGAGTTTATCGGAGGCCAAGCATCGCTGAGAGCCACGAGTACCAAAAAGGGGCTAAATCCTGGGGTGACCGGAGGCGCAGCGTGGAGGCGCGCATCCGCCACCAGCTCGGGTTTGACCAGCAGGGCCATCCAAAAATGAAACAGGAGACAGGGAGGATGAGAGACAAACAGAGGCCAGCCAGAATCAGGACGAGCAGCCACCAGATAAGGAGCCGCCCACGGAGGCCCCACCAGCCAGGCACACACAGATGTGTCTGGGATGGAAACCAGAGCTCTGGGAAGAAAGGCTGCGTCCACACCCGGGGCAGGACGTGCAGAAGAGGGACCCAGAATCCCACCCTGGACACGAAAGGACAGGAGCCTCCACAGGCCGCTGGGGGCTTGGCGACAGGACACGCTCGCTAATAGAGCGGGCGCTTGTCTAACTCTTGGAGATGAATGGTCTCGGGAGACACATGTGCTGATAAAGCAAGAGAATTTTTGCATAAGGGGGACCCTGGGCAGACTTGTAAGGGAACCCAGGAGAACAGCTCTGCCACGTGGCTCACAGTCTCGGTTTTACGGGAATGGGATTCGTTTCCGGGTGGTCTCTGGCCAAGTCATGCTGACTCCGACGAGTCAGGGTCCGTCCTGGTGGTGCACGTGTTGTCCAGCCAAGATGGATCCCAGCAAGGAGGATCCTGGGAGGTTGGTAGGACCAGTGGTATCTCCTTTTGACCTCTCCCGAATTCTTCCAGTTAGTGGTGACTTGGGAGTTCCGCGTATTCCCTGCCAGGACCTCCATCTTAAAACAGCTCAGGCAGATGGTTACACTGGTGCCTAGCCAGGCTGGTGTGGTTTCAGCCAAGTGTTTCCCCTAATAAAGGGGGACCATTTTCAGCATCGAATAACATGAGGAGTGGGTTCAAACAGACAAACATACCAGCTCCCTTCTCTCCCACTACTCCCCGGCCCCCCTGGACCCCCTGGCTTCCACTGTGCCTTCCCCCAGATTCTGGAAGCCTTACTTCCTCTTGTGGATCCTGCTGTGTCCTCCCCAGACAACCAATCCCAGCACTTCTTCCCCACTCTGGTCCAGCTCCACTCAGCCAGTGTTGAGATAGATGCCAGGGAGGGCCAGAGACCACTTAGGGCCGTTCTTGATTACCCCAGATGTTATTTGTTAACCTCACAAAGCATTTCATCCTGGAAGGGCTGGGCCTGTGTGCCTGGTGTCTCTGAATTTCTATTCAGAGAAATTCCACTTCCTTCAACTGATAAGATGGGACCCTTGGCCCTTCCTGTCAAGAAGAGCAAGCTGGGATGGAAATTGTTCCCTCCCTGCCCCCATCCCCTCCTTATCTTTCTTCTAGAAAACAATTCTTGACTCACTCTGTTTTCTTTCTTTTGACCTTCCGTTGCTCGAAGGGAAGACAGAAACAGATAAGCCTGGCTTTTGGTAGCAGCACCCAAAAGGAGTCCAATGGCCTCTGTCAAAAGCGATCATAGGAACTTGTCTGGTGGTCCGATGGCTAAGACTCGGTGTTCCCAATGCAGAAGGCCCAGGTTCAATCCCTGGTCAGGCAACAAGCTTCTACATGCCTCAGCTAAGAATTCACATGCCACAACGAAGATTCCACATGCTGGGATCTTATTTATTTGACCAGGCCCAGTCAAATATATAAATATTAAAAAAAAAAAAAAAAAAACTCAGAGTGAGGATAAACCCTCGGTCCCTGCCTATGGGCGCTTATATCTGACAACAAGGCTTCCTCTGATCGAGCCCCTGCTCCATGAAGAAGCAGAAATCACCAGAGGTGAAATGTCTGGGCAGGAAACAGAATTCAGCAGTGAGTCTGGCAAAGATATAAAATATCATAAAACACTGAAGGTCCTCAGAGATGTTCAAACACTGGCCGCATCCCCTGCCATCTGACAGATGCTGAAAACAAAGATGCTGAAGAAAAAGGCCCAGAGAGGGAAATAGCTCCTCAGTCTGGTCCAGGACTAAAGAGTTATTTGCTGGGAGCACCAGGCCCAGGTTGGAGCTTCCCGGGTGGTTCAGTGTAAAGAACTCGCCAGCCCATGCAGAAGACGTGGGTTCAATCCCTGGGTCAGGAAGATCTCCTGGAGGAGCGCATGGCAACCCTTTATAGTATTCTTGCCTGGAGAATCCCCATGGACAGAGGAGCCTGGTGGGCTATAGCCCATGGGGTCACAAAGAGTCGGACAACTGAAGCGACTTCGCACACAGCACACACACGCACACACACACACACACGTGCACATGTGCACCAGGCCCACGCTACTGTTCTTCCTAGATCTTTGAGGGGCCCAGGTCTAGCCAGCCCCAGCCCTCTGGCTCCGCTGTAGTCCTCAGTCTCCCCTCTGCAGCTCCGACAGCCCTCAGGCAGAAAGGTCATAGTGAGTGCAGAGTTCTCTAAGCAGGCCCCTTCCCTAAAGCTTCCACTGTAGCCAAACCTGCCCGTCTGATAAGGCAACCAAACAGATCTTCACAGAATAGTCCTCCCCAAGGGAGGGGGATGGGCCCCTGTGTTTTCTTGTGGGCTGAGAAGGGGGCTGGCCAGGAAGGGAGGCAAGTCCTGCTCCCGCCTCAAGCATTTCACAGCTGTGTGATCTTGAGCTAACCCCCATTCCTCTCTTGAGACAGGAAGGGAGCAGGGCACAACCCCTAAAAGAATGACACAGCCTGAGAACAAGACTTCCCAGGTGGCTCAGTGGTGAGGAATCCCCCTGCCAATGCAGGAGATGCAAGTTTGATCCCCAGGTTGGGAAGATCCCCTGGAGGAGGACATGGTAACTCACTCCAGTATTCTTGCTTGGAAAATTCCAAAGACAGAGGAGCCTGGCGGGCTATTGTTCACGGGGTCGCAAAGTTGGACACGACTGAGCGCACACACACAGAGGCACATAAGGACAAGACATAAACCAATTAGAGCCAAATAGGTCCAAGATGGCGTACGAGCAGACTTCCTCTAGACCTTGAGCCTCAGCACAGACACGCTCACTGTAACACATCAGCAAACTGAATGACACACCTAAAGGTGCATGACATCCCCAGGATGACCACAAAGAGTCAAAAAGTGGGTAGTGGCCCAAATCCTGCAAGTTCCCATCCCTTTCCCCAAATAGCTGGAATACTCCTTCCACTCATTCAGTTCAGTTCAGTTGCTCTTTGTGACCCCATGGGTTGTAATACGCCAGGCTTCCCTGTCCATCACCAACTCCCAGAGCCTACTAAAACTCATGTCCATTGAGTGGCTGGTGCTATCCAACCATCTCATCCTCTGTCGTCCCCTTCTCCTCCTGCCTTCAATCTTCCCAGCATCGGGGTCTTTTCCAATGAATCAGTTCTTCATATCAGGTGGCCAAAGTACTGGGGCTTCAGCTTCAGCTTCCAATGAATATTCAGAACTGGTTTCCTTTAGGATGGACTGGTTGGATCTCCTTGCAGTCCAAGGGACTCTCAAGGGTCTTCTCCAACACCAGAGTTAAATAGCATCAGTTCTTCAGTGCTCAGCTTTCTTTATGGTCCAATTCTCACATCCATACATGACTGTTGGAAAAACCATAGCTTTGACTATAGGGACCTTTGTAGGCAAAGTGATGTCTCTGCTTTTTAATATGCTATCTAGGTTTGTCATAGCTTTTCTTCCAAGGAGCAGGCATCTTCTAATTTTATGTCTGCAGTCATCATCTACAGTAATTTTGGAGCCCAAGAAAATGACGTCTATCACTATTTCCACTGTTTCTGTATCTATTTGCCATGAAGTGATGGGACCAGATGTCATGATCTTCATTTTCTGAATGTTGAGTTTTAAGCCAGCTTTTTCACTCTCCTCTTTCACCCTCCTCAAGAGACTCTTTAACTCCTCTTCTCTTTCTGCCACAAGGGTGGTGTCATCTGCATAACTGAGGTTATTGATATTTCTCCTGGCAGTCTTGATTCCAGCTTGTGATTCATCCAGCCTGGCATTTCACATGATGTACTCTGCATATAAGTGAAATAAGCAAGGTGACAATATACCACCTTGTTGTACTCCTTTCCCAACTTGGAACCAGTCCATTGTTCCATGTCTGGTTCTAACTGTTGCTTCTTGACCTGCATACAGATTTCTTAGGAAGCAGGTAAGGTGGTCTGGTATTCCCACTTCTTGAAGAATTTTCCAGTTTGTTGTGATCCACACAGTCAAAGGCCTTGGCGTAGTCAATAAAGCAGAAGTAGATGTTTTTCTGGAACTCACTTGCTTTTTTCTATGATTCAACAGATGTTGGCAATTTGATGTCTGGTTCCTTTGCTTTTGTTAAACCCAGCTTTAATGTCTGGAAGTTGTTGGTTCACATACTGTTGAAGTCTCACTTGGAAAACTTTTAGCAATACCCACCCCTTTGCTTCTTATTGCGAAATTCAGGCTTTAATTGGAAAAGGAGGGAAAACCAGTAGGCCATTCAGGTATGACCTAAATCAAATCTCTTATGATTTTACAGTTGAGGTGATGAGTAGATTCAAGAGATTAGATCTGGTAGACAGAGTGACTGAAGAACTATGGACTGAAGTGTGTAACAATTACAGAAGTCAATGACCAAAACCACTGTGGACAAAGGTTCATAATATTGTACAGGAGTCAGTGACCAAAATCATTCCAAAGAAAAATAAATGCAAGAAGGCAAAGTGTTTGTTTGAGGAGGCTTTACACATAGCTAAGGAAAGAAGAGAAGCAAAAAGCAAGGGAGAAAGGGAAAGATACACCCAACTGAATGCAGAGGTCCAAAGAATAGCAAGGACAGATGAGAAGGCCTTCTTTTTTTTTATTTTTTGAGAAGGCCTTCTTAAATGAACAGTGCAAAGAAGTAAAGGAAAACAATAAAATGGGAAAGACTAGAGATTTATTCAAGAAAATTGGAGATACAAGGGAATATGTCATGTAAGGATGGACACAATAAAGGACAGAAATGATAAGGACTTAACAGAAGTAGAAGAGATTAAAATGAGATGGCAAGAATACACAGAAAGACCTACACAAAAAGGTCTTCATGACCCAGATAACCACCATGGTGTGGTTACTCAACATGACATTCCAGAGTGTGAAGTCAAGTGGGTCTTTGGAAGCATCAAAGTAGCTTTGGCAGTTTGTAGCTTTGGAAGCTACAAACAAGGCCAGTGGAGGTGATGGAATTCCAGATGAGCTATTTCAAATCCTAAAAGATGATGCTATTAAAGCATTGTACTCAATATGTCATCAAAACTTGGAAGACTCAGCAGTGGCCACAGGACTAGTTAAAGTCAGTTTTCATTCCAATCCCAAAGAAGGGCAGTTCCAAAGAATGTATAATTGTGCTCATTTCACATGCTAGCAAGGTTATGCTCAAAATCCTTCAAGCTAGGCTTCAGCAGTACCTGAATGAAGAACTTCCAGATGTACAAGCTGGGTTTCGAAAAGGCAGAGGAACCAGAAATCAAATTGCCAACGTTCATTGGATCATAGAGAGAGCAAGGTAATCCCAGAAAAACATCTACCTCTGTTTCACTGACTCTGCTAAAACTTTTGACTGTGGAAAATTCTTAAAGAGATGGGAATATCAGACCACCTTACCTATCTCCTGAGAAAACTGTATGCAGGTCAAGAAGCAACAGTTAGACCCTTACATGGAACAACTGACTGGTTCCAAATTAGGAAAGGAGTACAAGGCTGTATTTTGTCTCCCTGTTTATTTAACTTAGATGCAGAGGACATCATGTGAAATGCTGGGCTGGATGAATCACAAGCTAGAATCAATATTGCTATGAGAAATAACCACAGGCTCAAATGTGCAGATGATATCACTCTAATGGCAGAAAGCGAAGAGGAACTAAAGAGCCTCTTGATGAGGATGAAAGAAGAGAGTGAGAAAGCTGGCTTAAAACTCAACATTCAAAAAACTAAGATCATAGGATCTGATCCCATCACTTCATGGCAAATAGATGGAAGAAAAAGTGAAAGCAGTGGCAGATTTTATTTTCTTGGGCTCCAAAATCACTGCAGACAGTGATGGCAGCCATGAAACTAAAAGATGCTTGCTCTTTGGAAGAAAAGCTATGACAAACCTAGACAGCATATTAAAAAGCAGAGACATTACTTTGCCTACAAAGGTCCATCTAGTCAAAGCTATGCTTTTTCCAGTAGTCATGCATAGATGTGAGAGTTCTGCCATTAAAAAGGCTGAGCGCCGAAGAACTGATACTTTCAAATTGTGGTGCTGGAGAAGACTCTTGAGAGTCCCTTGGACTGCAAGGAGATCAAAGCAGTCAAATCCTAAATGAAATCAACCTGGAATATTCATTGGAAGGACTGATGCTGAAGCTGAAGCTCCAATACTTTGGCCACCTGATACGAAGAGCTGACTCATTGGAAAAGACCCTGATGCTGGGAAAAATTGAAGGCAAAAGAAGAGGGTGGCAGAGGTTGAGATGGTTAGACAGCGTCACTGACTCAATGGACATGAATCTGAGCAAACTCTGGTAAATAGTGAAGGACAGGGAAGCTTGGTGTGCTGCAATCCTTGGGGTTGCAAAGAGTTGGACACAACTTAGTGACTGAACACCAGCAAAAATAAAAACCAACAACCCCATGCCCTGGGGCCTCACTTGCCCTCATTCTCTCTAAGGAGTGTGTTTCCTTCCTAAATAACCCTTTTTGAAAAAAAGAAAAATCGTGGTTGCACTGGATCTTCATTCCTTTTTGGCATGGGCTTTCTCTGGTGGCGGTGAGCGGGGGTTACTCTGTTGCCGGGTGTGGCCTCTAGGCTGACAGGCTTCAGAAGTTGCATCATGCAGGCTTGTAGCTGTGGCCCACAGGTTTAGTTGCTCTGAGATATGTGGAATCTTTCTGGACCAGGGATGGAACACATCCCCTGCATTGGCAGCTGATCCCTATCTACTGGGCCCCCACGGAAGTCCCTGAGGAACTCTTCTTTCACTTTACTGCGACTCGCTCTTTAATTCTTTCCTATGAGAAGCCAAGAACCCACACTTGGAGACCATCCCAGGGACTCGGATGTGACCTGGGGATGTGACCATCCTCTTGTGCCCCACTTTCTTTCCTGCAACACTCTGGGCCTCTTTTATGTTTGCTCTGTTTTTCAATATGATGGAGGTAAGTATCGTCCTGGATGAGCTATAATGTACCTGGCCAGAGCTAACATTTGATGAGTCCACAGTTTTCGGGGAAGAATTTTTGACAACTTACATATTGCTTTCATAACACTTCATTCTAGAGCAGGGTTGTCTAACAGAAATACATTATGATCCATATATATTTCTTCTAGTCTTATCAAAAAAACCAGAAACGGGTGAAATTAACTTTGATAATAGATTTTACTTAGCCCAATATATTCAAAATACTATTTCATCATGTAATTAGTGTAAAAAAAATTATTAAGATATTTTGCACTCATTGCCAGTGGCCACCAAGCTGGACAGCGCAGGCCGAGGGTTTAGCTCAGGAATGACCAAATCCAACCAGTCTTCCTACCTCAGGCCTTACTCTCCTGTAATCCATTCTAAGAAGACCACTGTGTCACTCCCCAGCTTAAAAGATCTCTGAGAGACTTCCCTGGTGGTCCAGTGGTTAAGTCCCTACGCTTCCAATGCAGTGAGCATGAGTTTGATCCCCTGTCGGAGATCTAATAACCCATGTGGCATGCAAAGTGGCCAATAGATAAATAAATTAATAATAATAAAGATCTCTGATATCTCCAAGATCTGCAACACACTGTCATGATGTGAAAGACTCTTCACCATCCGCCCAGATTTCCCTTTTAAACTTTTTTCTCTTCTCTCCCCTCCAAGAGGTGATCACTGCAGGCTTTTCTGTCCTCCACTTGGGGACCTCCTTGAAGATTCATTCGTCGGTTCATTCATTCAAGGAGCACCTACCAAACTTCAGGCAGCACGGGCAACGGACCCAACCCAAAGGGTGTCGAGAATCTTCTTTGACCAACTCTTAAGCCTCCCCGCTTAACACCCACCTCACCGAGGTCCAAGGTTAGCTCTCGGTCAGCTAACTGGGTGGTTGGTCCCTGGGAACTTCTCCCCACCCTCGGGCAAAAGAATGTGTGTTTTTCGCCATTTCTTCCACCCCTGCCACATGACGGATGTTCAACCAGTTGATGGATGACCTACCGACCAACGCCCACCTTCTGGTCTGCGAACTAGAACGCAGAGCAGGGGCGGGCTGAGGGGGCCTTCCGCTGAGGTCCCAGTGTTGAAACTAGCCAGGGTGGGCTAGGATCCCCGCACAGCCCGAGATGCGCCCCCGGCCCAGCAGCAACGCATTAACCCGGGCAAGCTCGCGACCACCACCCCCATTCGACCAGTCCCTGCCGGAGTGTCAACGGGGACCCGAAAGGACTAGGAGCGTGCCTGCGAGGGATCTGGAAGGCACTCAGGCCGGGCGCAGTTTCTGGCCTCCCGGGAGCGGACGCTTGCGCCGGGGGCAAGGAGCCAGCGCTGGTGGCGAGGAGCGCCGGAGCCCGCAGCCCCGGGGAGAGGTAGGCTGCGAGGCGGCGGGGCGGGAACTACAAATCCCAAGGGTCGTCTGCCCGAGCGGCGGAAGGGGCGGTCTCGGGCGGGGCGGAGCGAAGCCCGAGGGGCTCTAGGGCCACGCCCCGGCTGCGGGCTTAGCGCGCGGGGAGACCATGTCCGGAGGCAGCAGCTGCAGCCAGACCCCGAGCCGGGCCATCCCCACCACTCGGAGGGTGGTCCTCGCCGACGGCGTGCAGCTGCCCCCCGGGGACTACAGCACCACTCCCGGCGGCACGCTTTTCAGCACCACCCCCGGAGGTAGGCGCGGGCTCTGGGAGGGGGATGGCCCCCTGCGCCCCGGCTCTGGGTGCGGGCGGTGGGGAGTCCGGATTCGACAGGAGCGGGGAGTGCTCGGGAGCCGCCAGCTGGACGGGGCGACCGAGTTCCGGGGCGCGATGACTGGGAAGAACGGAACGGGGCATCCGGGAGGCAGTAAGAGTCCGGGAGGTGGCCGCACGGAGCGAGCATGGGGGTCGCCTGCGATCGCCAGCCCTCGGGCGCGAACTCCAGTGACGCGTCTGCCAATGCCAGGAGTTTCCTTCTTTCTGGAAGCGACACCTGACTCCCCCGATCGTCGACCAAAGCACAAACAAACGCACGCTTCCAAGACCGCCACATGCTGAGGTGTGCTGCCCCTTGTGGGTGTTGGGGGCAGTTCTGAGGCTGAATAGGGTGGGGTCGGGGTGGGCCACGCACCACGGGAGAGGTTTTGTGGGATGAGATGTTAGGATCAATGACCCTCGCAGAACCCTTCTTCCTTCCCGAGGCCCCCCACCCCACCAGACCCCCAGCCCCGGCTTTGGGCGGAGGGTGCTCGCCTGCTCCTGCGGCGCGCCTCGGCGGCACGGGGAGCAGATGGTTCTTTCAGGCGCGCGGCAGTTCTGCGCGCAGGGACCTGGGGCCGCGAGCCGCGCTATGCAGAAAAACACGTTCTTCTGTCCGGGGAGGGGGGGGGGGGGGGGAGGGAGGGAACCGTGTGACCTCCGGGAGCGTGGATGAGGAAGAGGAAGCTGAGCTGGCGCGGGTGGGGGCCCGCTTCGCGCTGCCCTCGGGAGCCTGGCATTCGCTCCCAGCACCGGAGCCCGGGTGCTGATGAAAGCTGCCCGCGCGTTTGCGTGATAAAATCCCGGAGCTCGCCGCTTCCCTCCCTCCCTCGCGCCGTCCTCACCCGCTTCTGCCCGTCTCCCCTTCCCTTTACGCCCTCTGCCTCTGCTGCTTCCCAAACTACTCGAGAAAAGCGCCGCACATTCTGGCGTCCCGGCTGGGACGCACGCGCTCGGGCGGGGCTGCCCGCCTCGTCGCCTGGCAGCGTCGGGGGCCACTTGCTGCTTTTCTCAGGCAGCTGCCCCACCCCCGGCGAGCACAGCCAGATCCGAGGCCCTAGTTTTGTTTGACTCAAAACATACAGCGTGCGAGCTGTTAGCCAGCTGAGTGGTTCTTGGACTGCGGGGGCCGCCTTTTTCTATGGGACGCTGCACTGAGGCCCCCAAACACGTGCCCACGATCCAATCTAACACCCGATTTCCCAAACTGAACGAGACACAGCCGCCAAGCGCAGAGGGGGGAAAATGCCGCCGCGTCTATTAAAAATGATCCCAGGGAAATCTGCCAGTGAATCTTCTGTCTCTCTTGAGTCTGATTCTCTTTCCATGCTAGGCCTTATGCAGTCCATGCTACTGCGCTTTTTCTGGGCTATGCTGTGTCTGCCGAGACCTTTCCGGACAGTTTTGGGGTCCCCTCCAGTGAAGGTGTGAGCCGCTGCTTTATCTCTTCAGGGTGGGCACTGACTCAGGCCTGAAGGCTTAGGTGGCCCTATTTTGCACCTTTGTTTCTAGATGGGGTGGATCAGCTTGGAAGCAACAGCCGGGGGTGCTGTTTATGGGAAACTCTCTTCCGCTTCTCCTTTTGCACTGGTAAATTGCGGTTTGGGGCAGACCTCAGCCAGTCTCCCTCCTTTTGAAGGTGTTCACTTGAGAGAGGGACAAGGGGCTTCTGCATCAGTGTGACAGTTTCTGAGGCCAACTGGAAGGAAGATAGCAGTGCCAGGAGCCTAGAGAGTGACCAGCCTAGAGACCAGCGGGGAGACGCAGCTCACAGTCCATAACCCGGAGAATCCAGGCTTGCCTCTGCACCATCAAGGCATGGAGTCTTCCTCCAAAGCCCACTTTAACACAACCCTTTTGCCTGCAGAGGGGCTTGACCTAGTGAGTAAAGATCATTCCTGGCCCCCTTCTGCTTCCGTCTAGAGTGCTGTTTCTCAGTCTTCCAGGGGGCACATGAATTACCTGGGGACCCCATCTAATTCTGTAGGTTAGAGGTAGGACCTAAGATTCCACATTTCTAACTAGCTCCTAGTGACTGGTGTAAGGACTTCTCTCTGAGCTCTCAGGAATTGGTGGAATGTGACAGCCCTCACCAGTTTCTCCTCTGCGGTCTGACAAAAAAAGTGATGCATCTATCCAGGTAAACTTCTCCTGAGGTTGGGTCTGACATCTGTCTTTATTTATTTATTTGTTTTTTGGTGTCTATCTTTAAACCAGAGTCTGAAGAGCCAGGCTCTCGGCAGAGTCTGTGTGGTTGGATGGTGTTAGAAGCTACTGGAGTAAAGTGTCCACTTGTCACTCTTGCTGGGAATGGCTCTGCAATGTGTGCCCCAGGGGAAAATAAGAGCAGATGACTTGAGCCATCTCCAATCCTCTGACTCCAGTTTGCTTTCCATGCTCATTAACCCTACACGGGCTGAGCCACTGATCTGAAGTTAGATGTCTGGAGAACTGAAGAGAAATTTACTTAAGAGAGTGTCACTGATGAACACTCAGGTTTGTGGAATCTTACGGTTTTGTTTTGTTTTTTTCAATTTTATTGAAGTATAGTGGATTGACAGTGTGTTCATTTCTACTATACAGCAGAATGACTCAGTTATATATTCTTTTTCATATTCTTTTCCATTAGGGTTTTGTGGTTTTTTTTTTTTCCTTTTTTGGTTGTGCCATGCTTCTTGCAGGATCTTAGTTTCCTGACGAGTGACTGAGCCTGTGCCCCTTGCCTTGGAAGCATGGAGCCCTAGCCACTGGACCACCAGGGAAGTCCCTTCGTTGGGGTTTATCACAGGACACTGAATATAGTTCCCTGCGCTATACAGGAGAACCTTGTTGTCTATCCATTCTGTATATAATAGTTTGCATCTGCTAATCCCCAAACTCCCAACCCTTACCTTCCGCACCCCAACCCCTTTCCTTTGGCAGCAAGTCTATTCTCTGTATCTGTGGAGTCTTCAAAGTCTTAAGTAACACCATAAACCACCAGAACCTTTGAGTGGGTCAGAACCCTTCATCCACCCTTCCCCCACCAACCTCTACATTCCCAGTTCTTTACTGGATGTTTGACCCCAAAGCTACAGGAGTTGTCGCTTGGGTGGTAGTCGTACCTAAGCCCTGGATCTGGATAAGGTTAATCAGAGGTAAGCAGCTAGGACTGCAGGTGTTGCTGGCACCCTGTTTGTTAGACAAACAAAGCCTGCGCCCAGGAAGCTTACCTTGGGGCAGCTCCCGGGTCTGGCCCTGGAACAGAGAGTGCTGGGAAGAGGATAGGGTAGGCTGGGCACTGAAGCCGGAGCGTGGCCAGTGTCCCCAGGCCTCAGTCACACTGCCTCTTTATTACAGGTCAAGAGAACTTGACACTGACATTAAGGCAAGGAGGGAACTATAATGGGCCTCTTTTTATACTGACCCAACCTTCCTTTTAAAGCGTTTAGAACATTCCATACTATGTGCTTCATTAAAGACTGGCAGGGACCCTGGCGTAGAGCACCCATAGCCTTTCTGGTCTTACAGGCATCGGAAGACAAAGTGTGACCTGGAGGGCTTCCATTGCAAGCTAGAAAGATGAACACATCCGAGATAGAATTATAAGCATCAGAGTTGTATCTGAAGTAATTAGACAGACACTCACCCCATCCCTGAAAACTTGCATGATATTAAGTGAGACTTGCCCACTCCAAGTAGCCAGCGTGGTTGGCCTTACATTCTAACAATGTAGACACAGCTGTTGGATATGAATTGCCTTCAGACCTTATTTTTTTTTTCCCCAATATCCTCAAGGGTGGCAGGGCCTCGTTATTTGATAAAGGAGTTTGTTTTTTTCCTGAAAAAGCAAAAAAGTCCTTCATTACCAAATTTAGAGAAAGGGCCAGCAGGATGGTACCATATTGACTGTTGGTATAAAGTAGCGAGGCATTTGCTTGTCAGGGTCTTTGATGTGGAGTTAGGGAAAGGCAGCATTATTGAAAAAAGGATTGCTTCCCAGGGTGAAATGAATGAAAAGTGTTCATTTGTGCACATAGGTTCTTGATTCTTGAAAGAAAAACATGTTACGTTCTCGTTTTACTGAGATCCACGCCAGTGTTCTTCCTCTTTTGTGATTCACAACAATGATTCACATGTCTTTGTTTACATGTTTGTTCCCTAGATCAGACAGGAAGTTCTTTCAGAGGTGGCTTACTCATCTTTGTAGTGCAGCCAGCCACATCAGATATCTAAAAGGTGAGGGGTGAAAAACTCCTGTGATGAGAGTATTCTCAGGGTAACCTACTGTCTCTACTAATAGGCTTGGGTCTGGGCTGGCTTAATAAGAATGTTTAAATTTTCTTTTCTGTCCTCTTAGTTACAAGTATAACTGTTTATCTTGGAATGTCCCAGAAGCAGAAGCTAACTTTCTCTGAACTTTCCCATTTATCCCAGTATTATTCCAAGTTATTATGAAGCAGACTGTGGAAGGAAGTGACTTTTTATACTGAACTAGTCAGTGTTGGGGCCTAGGTCTCAGACACTGGGATTCATGGTTTTCATTTACTTGTTTGAGGCCAGTATTGCTGACTCAGCAGAAATAGGTGACATCTGCCCATGGCATTTGGATGCTTAGGACATGGGCCTTGTAATCCATTGCCTATGCCCATGAGGGTTCACAGGGAGAGCTCAGATACTAGACCCAGAGATCTAGTCTCAATGAGAAGGGCTGTATCAGATAGCTACTGCTGTGTAACAAGCAATCCCCAAACTTAGTAACTTCAACCACCACAACAACAATCTGTTATTTCTCTTCATTCTTTGAGTAAATTGGGCATTTTTTGATCATCTTGCCTGAGCCCACTCATCTGGCTGCATACAGTTGGCTGTTGGATTGCCTTGGACTGGAAGTTTCAAGATGGTCTTAGTCACCTGTCTGAGTATTGCTGGGGACAGCTGGAAGGTTGGGCTCTC